AAATCATGTTTTAAGAACAATTCTTGTGCTTCTATTCTTCCTAATTTCCATCATAGAAAATAATGAGAAGAATCCCTGAAGATACTTAGACAACAATAAGGTCACTAGTCTTGTTTCAATACCTATGTAGCCAAAGTGTGGCATTAAAGGTTGAACGAAGGAAGCATCAACTTGACCAAAGGCTAGACTAAGAAATTTTCAAGTATAATTCTAACTCATTCTATTTATCATGCAGAAGCTAGGTGGGTAGAGAAACATTTTTATTATTCTTTAACATTATTATTCTTGAGATTAGAAATAATAGGGAAATAATAGGAAATATTGAAGATATAGGTGATTGCTATCTCTCTATGAATCTCAAAAAGTTAAAGCGAACAGCTACAAATTTAAACGGAGATTTAGATAGACCGAAAAAAGCTAAGCAAAGCCTATCTCTACTAGCAGTTTAATAGATCTACTGAACTTAACATGCCAACTATACATTAGTTTGTAGTCTGAGTTAGGTTTCAAAAACCCCATAAAAATTTTGGTATCAAAGCCATAAAACAATGTTGTTAAGAATGGAATTAAGAAAACTAATAAAATTCTATGAGGAAGAGATCAATTTTATAATGAAGCTTATAGCAAAAGAAGGAATGATTCCCTTTAAAAATTGATGAGTTACTATGGGAAAATTATGTATATAAAGTTTGTAAAGCATTAGCTTTAGAAGAATTGAAAATTTTAGCATTATAAGAATAAAACCTGTTTTCATAACAAACTTAAAGTTGAGGACTAAAAGATCCAAAGAATGATAAGTTCAAGGACTAGGACATCAAGTCAACGGAAAGCAAAAAAGTTAGATTTAACGTCATGGTTGTTCAGAGGGGCTATGTTGCCACCGCATGCAAATTGAAGGGTTAGTCTGCGAGTGAATGCAGATGAAGGGTTATTCTGCCACTACCCATCGAGTTGAGGGGCTAATCTGCATGATTTGCCCCAATGATAAGCAACATCTCTAGATCAGACATGCTTTTCCTGTTGTATTTCATTTAGTTTTTGAGGCTTAGTTGAAGAAGAAAATTGGCAAGCCGTGGACAAACCCAACTCGAAAATAAAAATACAAGAAACCCAAAACTTAGGGTACCACCAAACAGCTGAGAAATTTGATTTGTAAGTATATTGATAACAGAGAAAAGAGGAAACAAAACCCGAAGGTGGGAAGCCACCAACTAAGCGACTAGATACTTATCTTCTAGACTGGTTCAAGTGGCATAAAGAGCATACTAGATATATACATTCGCTAATGCATCCACTAGGGTAGAAGAACAAAACTTGATTCTGGTTCAGGATACTCAAGCACCGGAAGAAGTCCCATCAGGGTCATGGCCACAAACATCCAAATTGGGTTCAGCTGAAAGTGATGCAAGGCCACACATGCGCCTTGAGGCTGATGGTGTCCGAGGGGAATGTGGAGTTCTTGGAGATAGGTTGACAAACTCTAGTGCTTGTTGTCTCAGTTCTAAAGGGTATTCTGCAACACATCCAATCCTTGGCCCAGCTCCACTTGTCCACTTGAGTGAGAGCTGATGTCCTAATTGGTGTGATTTTGCTGCCTCCTTAGAGTTAATCCTTTCCAATATAGAAGTTTGGGGCACCTCAGCCCTTGGGCTCTTAAGACCTCCAGACCGAATCCTTTTGTAAGTAGTCCTGGTCTCTGTTTGGTCATTTTCAAGTGACTCTGAGAATGTAGTCTTCTCTTCAGCTGGACTTTCATGTTCAGGAAGTCCTGAGATTGTTAAGACTTCTGATGAAATTCCGAGTCCATTGGATTTGCCATCAAAGTTGCTATTAAAATCATCCGTTGGTTTGCATATCTGAATCTCAAGAGACGCAAATATCAGTACTGAAATTCCAAGTCCAATGTATTTTTACAATCCAAACTATAAAACAGTGTTCTTAAAAGAGTATGAGACCTTGCAATTTTGATAATGGTTCTCATGTAGATCCAAGAGAAAAGAGAATCAAAGACGAGAAAAGACTGGCAAATTAACAAAATAGGAAACTAGACCTAGTGTAATTTCCCTAGGTATAGAATTACATAGCAAAAATTAATCCCTAAAAAATATTCGTAATTATAACAAAGAAAGCTAGATAATATGTGCAGTTCTCTTTTGACTGCATCAGGTTCACAATAACTGTCTTTCTAGGATTTGCAATACTTGTATACCATAATCCAAAATTTTCTTGGTGAACCAAATAAACATAAAGTATTTTGGATTCACAAATTCTGAAGAGAGCATTATGAGATGGATTGAGAGATTACCTCAACTTCATTTATGTTCACCCCTTTCTCCTTGAGGAAGGATAGGAAATTGTCAAGGCTGTCAGGCTTGTAATGTCCACTATGTGCAGAAATAGACTGAAATATTCAGAAAAGAAAATGGAGACTCAGATGCCATTCAGTGGATTAGCATTCAGAAAGAATCAACAGTGGAGGTGATGCAATAATAAGAATAAGATTCTCTATTGATAGCTATCCTTAATTCCTATAAACCATACTTTAACAATTCCCTGCTCTACTTCTAGCCTTCCTGCAGCTAATGTAGCTCCCCCAGCCAAGAAGCTGGAGTGATGGAACAACCCTTTCTTCTTCTGCAATGAGTTAAACATGTGTTAGTTTCTCTGATATGCTATAGGAATTATCCAAATCGTTGTCTATTATTTGTTCGAACTTCAAATTCTTACCTCAGCGACATAGAGTTGCTTAGAGGCGCTCATAACAAACATCCATTTTCCTTCTTTAGATACATTGATTGTATCAAGGAGTTCTTCAGTTTGTTTATGTTTGATCTGTCCTTCATCAACAATGTATTCATAATGTTCCCTCTCTTGCTGATTTCCCACACAGAAAAAAGAGAACAAAATAGAATTTATATCAGGACTATAAGAATTAGCACCAATAAGATAGTACATCACATAAGAAAATTTTTGAAGTGTATCATTAGTATGTCAAAAGGAAGCACATACCATGCCAAGATACTTGATGCATTGTTGTCGAAGTGTTGATCTTGGGCATTCTTCGAGATCAAGCTCTTTTCCAGCACCTAGATCCAACCTGCAGGGAATGCAAATTAAAACATCAGCCATAAATTAACTGCTGTAACACCCATTAGTGCAGGTTCTCTTTTTCAAAAGGGGAGAGAGGGCAGCCTTACAGCGGCCAAATAAGAGGAAGACTAAAGAGTCTGATAATTATGTATTCTTGTTCTCAATTTTGTTTCTCATGGCAGTCTATCAATACTCAGCAGTCATTTTCTGATTAAATTTTTTTACCTCGACTCTGTTATCTTTATGCAATTAACATTAATTCAGCTTTAACCTTTTACAACACTCCAAAAACCAGAGCATCAGAACTTAGAAATGATGCTTACCAGAAGAAAAAGGGCTGCCCAGCATCATTTTTATACCATTCAAGGAAGTAAGTACGCAAGTTATGGCCATAGCGATGCCGTGCATCAATCTAGAAATAATTATTACAGTAAACAAAGGTGCAGATTCAATAAAGAATAATATTAACAATCTAAACTTGTACGGGAAAACATAGTCCCAAGAAGAGAGTCATTACAGCTTCAATCCAATGCTGAAAAGCCAATTGTTGTGCCCTAGCGTCTTTGCACAACCCCTTTCCCACCTGCCAAAATTATCCAAAATGTCAACAATGAATCATCACTGTACTAAAAGAATAATCTTTTTCTATTTTTGTATATAGCTATTAGTGGCATCATTGGGAGCTTTGGAATCAAATCCTGATCGAGAATAAACCTCTTACCAATTAAACTACAACAATTTTCATCAAGATCAATCTAAAAAATCATCATGTAATTTGCATTAAAAAGAAAGTTCTTTATTTTTGCCCAAAACAACGAAACTCCTCATACCTTAGAAGCATTCCAGGTAATCCGATTCCACTTAGAGGTCGGTGTTTCAGGTTTCGAAAAATTAAAGAAGGAAATTGTACTGCGATTCAGTCTGGCAAAATCTATTGCCCGCCACCTTCAATAAAACAAAAACCACAACCTTTTCAGAAAATTGTCTGGAAAAGAAACAAAACCTAAAAAAAAAATTTCTCTAAATTACAAATTACGGGGATAATTTCAAAATTGTTATTTATTAGCTTAACAACATTAATTAAACATTAAAAATATGATATTTAAATTTATGTAATACAAAGAAACTAAACTTTATATCTAATAAAAAAAATAATAATAACGAATAAGATTTCCATGTACGTACCATAGCCCTTCAGCAACCACAGCCGAGTCGGCTAACCTGCGCCTGGTACGATAACTCCTATACACCTTCTGCACCCTCACAGCGGCACTAGACTCGTCGCCAGACGCCAGTGGAAGCGACGACGAAGCACTTCGACATTCTGTCAGCGTATCTCCGCCGCCAGGAACCGACTCCGACCCCATTTTGCGGCCACCACTCGTCGGTAGAGAATCTGATCCGTCGGTACTCTGACTATCCACCAGTAAAAGATCACC